TCATCCCCACTCGTCCCATGTATAATCGCCTCGCACCTTCGCTGTAGTCTCGTCGCACCTGCTATCGGACCATGCCGACGCCGGATGATGAAGCCATGGTCTCGCCGGTGGAGCACGAGAGCATCGCTGGCCGCCCGACTTGTCCACCCGAGGAATCGCGCGTTATCGCGACGCACGAATTGAATGACACACGGGGCGCCCACGACGACAGCAATGCCAGCGCCGTGCCCGATGTTCCCATGCAGCAGCCCACTCCGTCTCCACAAAACTCGCGCGAGCATACCCAGGCGCCCGACGATATCCATACCAAGCTGCCCAGCACCGACAGAGACTCGCCCACCAGAGACATTCCCACGCCTATGACGGCGACAGACGACGGCACTGACGAGCAACGCACCTCTCACGTCTCGCCGCTTTCTCCCGCTGCGCCAACTTCGCTGCTCGCCAGCCATCTATCATCCCCATTCCCTGCGCATAGGGTACGTCAGACCAGCATGCATGCAGAACAATGCGCAAAGTAGACGTTGCTAATGCCGATGCAGTTCCTACCCAACACATCCTCGTCCCTCCTTCGGCCCGGCAGTCGCTTCGTGGGCACCCAGACCTCCGACCGCCAGCAGTATGACGTCGAAGTCGATATAAAACATGTCGACATGCGCGAGTCCTTCATGTGTGGATACTTGCGCATCAAAGGTGCGCACACATCTCCGCGTTGCCATAGAGCTTGTAGACTAATCCGTTCGCAGGGCTAACGGAAGACCACCCAAGTCTGACGACGTACTTCGAAGGCGAGATCATCGGAACCAAATACACCTTCATTACACAGCATCCGGAATGGGGCTCCAACGAGAAGGTCGACCGGCAACACTGGGGGCGGTTCGACGCATACAAGCCGATTGCTAAGTACTCTGCGCGCCAGGACCAGGTGTCGAAGGATCTGAACCAGAAGGAACACCTCTTCATGCGGTGGAAGGAGTACTTTCTCGTGCCAGACCACCGAGTGAGGACCATCAGCGGTGCGAGCTTTGAAGGCTTCTACTACATCTGCTTCAACCAGCTCTCGGGTGGCATCGAGGGCATCTACTTCCATGCTAAGAGCGAGAAGTGAGTTTGACATACCAGCAAAGATGGTCGCATGCTAACACTGCCCAGATTCCAGAAGCTCAATTTGAAACACATCCAAGATTTTGGGTGTCAAGGCGCGATTGAATTCCGATAGTGTTGATGACTGAACGACTGGGCATTTGGATATGGATTAGCATTAGGGCGCACACCTGGGATTGTCTTCTTGTATCGATTTTTCTTCCCACGGACCGTATGCAGGGTGCCAAGGTCGTCGGGCTTTTTGTAGTAACGTCTCTGAGACATGCAGGTCGAATTACGTCACGCTACGCTTTGTCGTACAAGCAGTAGATCGCTGCGCGAACGGCTGTTTGCTGTGTTGCTGCAGATGTGGTGGACCAGAGACCCTGGCGCTAGCGAAAAACTCGCTTGATTCGTGAAACGCAGCTAATCGACTATTACCTCAGCACCTGTGCATCTGCCTTTGACCCAACTTTCTTGCACATCTGATAATTGCGTATACCAAAGTCACCATGCCAGGCGAAGCAGCAAAGCGCACAAGGCGCGAGGAGTACAAGAAGTCGCTGCAGACGGAGGAGCAGCAGGGCGCCATGCCCAAGAAGAGGTTCTATAGGCAGCGCGCCCATGCGAATCCCTTCTCAGATCACTCGCTCACCTAGTAAGAAGGTTTAGTCTTTGGTGAGAAATGGATCTAACATGATGCAGCCCAAAGAGCCCCGCAGACATGGACTGGGCGAGTCTATACCCCATGTACGCCAAACAACCCAAGAGAGAGACGGAAGAAGCGCAGAATGAGTCACATGATATGAGCATAGCAGAGCAACGGGAAGCAAACGCGATATCAAAGAATGTCGAAATAGCAGACATAGGATGCGGTTTCGGCGGCCTACTCTTCGCCCTCGCACCAAAGTTCCCGGACACATTGATACTTGGTCAGTTACCCCATCCCTCCTCGCCACCTCATCCACGAAAAACCCGCCCACAGGACCACAATCAGCCACCTCCAAACTAACACAGACCCACAGGCATGGAAATCCGCACCTCAGTAACAGAATACGTGCAAGAAAAAGTCCGCGCCCTCCGCGTGCAAAACGCTTCAACAAACGCCTACCAAAACACGTCTTGCATCCGCGCCAACACCATGAAATTCCTACCCAACTTCTTCCAACGCGCCCAGCTCTCCAAAATCTTCCTCTGTTTCCCAGACCCACATTTTAAGCAGCGCAAACATAAAGCGCGAATCGTGTCGTACACGCTCAACTCGGAGTACGCATACGTCCTCCGCCCCGGGGGTGTGGTGTTTACAATCACGGATGTGCAGGATTTGCATGAGTGGATGAAGGGGCATTTTGAGAAACATCCGTGTTTTGAGCGGGTGGAGACGGTGTTTGAGGAGGGGGAGACGGTGGATGGGGTGGAGGGCGTGGGTATGGATGAGTGTGTTAAGGCGATGAGGGTGGAGACTGAGGAGGGGAAGAAGGTGGAGAGGAACAACGGGTTGAAGTTTGTGGCGTGCTTTAGGAGGGTCGAGGATCCGCCGTGGCCGTGAGGGAAGAGGATGTGAGCTTGTGCTGAGGGTTCGCTAACTAGAGCTTTGAGACTTTGTCGAGAAAATGTCTTCTCTGGCGGGCGTAGGGTGTTGTTGTCCTATCAAGCACAATGTGGAAAGATTTGGTATGATCCACGTTCTTTTACGCGTGGGCTGCATGTTCTCACACTATCTGAATAGTCAGGGACACGGGAAGATGGCAGGTACTTACACTCGATCCAAGGCATCAGCATTTCCGCCTTGCACATGATCTTGAACTCATCAACATGGTACCAAGGAAGTCGTACCAGAATTACGACAATCGACCCAGTCAACCCTTGGATATTGCATACTCTCACTCGAGCATGCGCTGATGCCCACTTCCGTGCCCCTGCCTCGGATGTGTATCGGGCTTGGGTGTCGTAGACGCCCTTGGCTATCTAGGCTTGCTCGGTGTAAGCGGCGCTGTCCGCTTGCGTAGCGCGAACTTGGCTCGCTAGCGATGCGAGAGCTGTCCTCTACCTTCTTTCCCCTTATAACACTTACGTCTACGAGGCTGAGGCTGCGCGGTCTACGAAATACGTGCTCTACTAATTATAGCGCTTACTGGCTGCGGGCACGATATTACAATCGTGTTACTTGGCGCCCTAAGACGAGACTGTGACAGCAGCTAGATTGAGAGATCCCTCACGATCCTACGGTTCATACCTAAAGAATGCGATTGGATGCTAGGTAGGTGATTTCTGCGAACAAATGCCACTTCACTCCGAGTACGGATCTCTTACCCAGCGGTAGCATGCTACCGACATCGCTTAGTCTCTGCATGCAAACGCGGGCTAGACAGTACATCTGGAAAGCAAACCTCGCTTAAAGTTCTAAGCTTTAGCCCTCAACACGGATGTGATGTACTAACAACATGCTCTTGGTAGTCCGAGTCCTGTCGTTGGTAGCTGGTGCTACCAAAGGCGACTTGGTCTCGTGCACAAGCTTGGCAATGAAGTAGCACTAATGTAGACAATGGTTAAGACCTATACCGCGCGTCTACAGACAAGGCAAGTAGGTATTAGCCTCTTGTGTAGGCACATGGAGATTGGGCTGTAGGCTGACTTACTTGGTACAGCCTTTTCTGCTGGGAAGTTTGGCAACACGACGATAAAAATCTCTTCCAACACGCTCTCAAAGAGCCTCGACAATTCTACGACTTTCATCCTTGACCTTGCGCTACCCAATATTGTCTTCAAATAGTTGGCAGAGGCAGTAGCTAAGGGGCGTAGAAGACGGAGGAGCTTAGCTAATTTTGTACCACAACCCATTTGTATGCACCAGAGAGACACATTTTAAGGTGAACCGCATTAATGCACGGTTTTTTGGCGCTCTTTTGGGTATCAAGAGTATTGCTACGGGTAACTGCTAAGCTTAGGATACGTTTGTGTCCACCTATTCCAGAATTGACTTGTCTCTCTTTAACACGGAGCGCTTATAAACGATAATTATAGCTTCAACGATACAATCCTTGACGATTTTCCAGATGGGACTTTTTAGCCCGAGTAGGATGTGGGATACAAAACTGGTAACAAGTGACAGCAATAGCTACAGCCACGAGCAAGTTTTCTTTTTACCTATTTCCAGATATACTCTCTATGTACTTCTAAAGGAAGGTAGTGTGTTAATCCAGGTTGTATGAGTGGTACGTAACCGAGCTTCGACTACTCTCTATCATCGCATACTCTGGTTATATAACAAGTGATCTTAAAATCGTGTAAGCAAGGATTCGATACAGCCGGCCATAAAGTAATACGCCAAAGCCTGAAACTTCTCATTACTCTATAAACTGTCTCAAAGCTCGTCTTTGTTGCGAAAATGCAGTACCTTAGTGCGATACTGGCCCTTACAACCGCAGTTACTGCGCTTAACATTCACTTTCACACCCTCATCAGAAACGACTACTCAGGAGCGGCAACTCGATGCTTAAATATTATTCCAACGGTCAGCGCTCTCTTTACCTTAAGCTTTCTTTCTCTTACTAACTTGTTTCGCCCGCGGAGTATGCTGCGAAGACGAGAGAGGCACATTTTGAGCCAGCTGGAAGCCCCGCCGCCGCGACAGTCGGTATTCGTTGACAGAGGGCACCGTGGGAGTGTCAGGCTTAGTTACACGAACGACAAGAAGGTTACAGCGCCGGTAGAGGTCTAGCTCATCCTACGCGCAGATGGGCGTCGCAAACAACGAGCAAGCGGAAGTAGCATACGCTATTAGCGTGACTAACAGGGCGTCTCCACGACACTCTACATTCTACGCCCTACATTCTACATTCTACATTCTACATTCCACATTCTACATTCTACATTCCACATTCCACATTCTACATTCCACATTCCACATCGCTATTTCAAGCACTGGCTATGCTGCCCCCGGCGCTTTCTCCAGAAGCTTCGGCGGCACCTAAGACACCTAGATCGCCGCAGGTGACTAGAGCTCGGAACGCGTTACAAAGCGCGTCTAAAAGGTATTCAAGCCGTTCTTTCGATGCTACCTCGCTACTGCAGTATAGATCTAGCTGCAGCTGGCCGGCATCATCAACGATGCTTGATAGCCAGATGTTCCGCCCTGGTAGTGAGACGGGCGACCAGGCATCTACGTAGGCATCCAGCACACCATAATGCATACGGACCTGGTCGGGAGCGTATCGGTGGTGCACAATAGAGCCGAACTCGACGGTCGGATCCCAAGACGTACATTGGGCTGCCACTACGCTAAGGGGAAGTGTTTCAAAGTCGATCGAGGCGGCGTGCTGGTCCTGAACCCGGCGCAGCAGCACTGCGATGTGCTCACCGCCTCCTGGGCCTGCCAGCTGCACTCGAACGGGGAGTAGGTTCAGACAAGGCCCCACGACTGCGGCCAGCCCAGGGTCGCCGCTGCGCCCACTGACGAGCTGGCCAAACACGAGGTCCGCTTGTCCCTGCAGCACCTGGCTTTGGGCGAGCGCCCATGCCGTCTTGACTACGGTCGCATCGGTAATGCCGGGCGGCGGCGTGAAGCGTGGCACGCTGGCGTTGACCTCGACTAGGGTGGCTCGAGCGGCGACAGGGGCAAGCTCCGGGCGTTGGGTTGACAGCACTGTCATAGAGGAGCCACGTAGTAGCCCACTCCAATAGGCGAGTGCCTCTTCTGTGTAGCTGCGTAGGCAATAGCGGGTATAATCCGTGAAAGATGTGGCCGTGCCCATGTCGCGCTTCTGGTAGAGATCCATCAAGTTCTTCATGAGGATGACAATGGACAAGCCATCGTACTGAGCGTGGGATAATCGCATGATAAGTACATGATGCTCGTGATGGCGTCGGACCAGGGTCAGCCGCAGCGGTGGCTCTCCATACAGTCGCTGAGAACGTGAATCCTTCCTGCTATATGCCACGGCAAACGCCATCAGGTCCGTCCCACATGTATCCAGCTCGATAAGAGGGGATGTAAGTTGACGCAGAACCACCTGCAATGTCTTCTCCTTCTGCAGCACGAAGGCAGTACGAAGGATGGTGTGGTGCTGAATTAACTCGAGGCTAGCCCACTTCAGCTGTGCCGTGTCTAGGGGTCCCTTAAGCTCCAAGAACCAGTAGTTTTGTGGCCGAGACGCAGAGAAGGCCTGCAATTCGATAGTGGGCAAGACGTCAACTACATCATGTTCCTGGAATGCCAGAGCTTGCCAAGGCAAGGAGCGAAGGAGATGAGCATCCATAGGTTCTGTGTGGCCGTTGCTGAGAACCTCATCTTTTGGCAAGCCATAGGGCTGTGGGGATGCCTTCCCCAAGTCCGCAAGAGCAGTGGAACGCAGTATTTGCCCCACCGTTATTGACATTCCCTCGCGGCGGGCATGAGACACTAGTTGCATGGCCTTGATGGAGTCTCCTCCGATGTGGAAGAAGTCACTATCAATGTCGACGTGGTCAGATAAGAGGCCCAACACGTCGGCACATAGCCTTTGGATTCGCTGTTCTGCGACGGTCAGACACCTTGGCGGCTTCGGGACCTCATCACCGGGCTCTCCACACGCGGTGGCCAATGCCAGCTCGCCGAGTCTTGTCCTATCGGCTTTGCCTGATCGGCTCAGTGGAATGTGGCTGACGGCGAGAAATCGGACAGGCACCATATAGAGGGGCAGCCACTTGCGGAGATGTGATGTGGCATCGCGAACTCTGGAGCAGAAATCAAGACTCGATTTCAGGATGTGGCATTCTGTATCCTTGTAAGCACCCTCTCCCCACTGTATAAAGGCTGTCAGTGTCCGTTGTGACGAGAGCTGCGGCTGCGGGAGTAGCGCTACAGTCACACCCCGCGAGGCTGGAAAGAGCCTGCTGAGATGGGATTCGATCTCGCCTAGCTCCACACGTTGGCCGTTGATCTTCGATTGGCCATCATGGCGGCCAATGTACTTCAAGGCACCGCTAGGAAGATACTGCACTAGATCACCGGTTCTGTATAACCTACTGCTGGCGGCATCCGCTCCTCGTAACCGCTGTAGCCAGGCTGGTTGCGGAATGAATGCCTGACGGGTCAACTCGTCCTCTTGGAGATACCCTCTTCCCACAACAGGGCCCTCGACGAGGAGTTCACCTACAGCACCGATAGGTAGCAGCCGGTCTGGTTTCGCAAAGTCGGTGATCCAGATCACAGCGGCACTCGCTCTTCCGATACTCTCAGGGTGCGATGCGACCTGGTCGTTGACCACACAGTCCACAGAGCACTCGGCGGGCCCGTAAGCGTTGATCAGATGGACAACGGGCGCCCACGTATGCAAGTTATCCTCTTGAAGGGCTTCGCCGCTGAGCACAAGAGTATGAATTCCCGGGACTTGCGATGGCTGTATCGTCCGTGCAACCGAGGGCGTGATATGCAACCAATTGGCCTTGAGACGAGTAACGGCGTGGGGTATGTTATTGAGCCTCTCCGCCTCCGAGGGTACGCAGACACAGCCGCCAGTCATGAGGGTCGTGAGATAATCGCTGACGCTGACGTCGAACGCATGCGACGCGAACTGGAAGACGCGGGACTGCGGTGAAACGTTAAGTCGTTTCTGGAGAGACCGCCCGCTGGTTGTATAGTGCGTGTGTTCTATGACTACTCCCTTGGGCTTCCCTGTGGAGCCAGACGTGAAGACTGCGTAAGCCGCGTGACCTGGATCCGCGTGGCATGAAAGATCTTCGCCCGCTGGCCAGCGCTCCGGCTCGGCAGGCGAGATAGTCGCCACTCGGGGTGCCAACCTGACGGCTCGGTCGTGATCAATCGGCGAGCAGATAAGGATCTGACAATCTAGGGTCTGGCAGATGGTCTGCAGACGCAGGTCAGGGTGGGCTGGATCGAGCAGGACGAATGCGCCGCCAGCCCGCAAGACAGCCAACAATGCGACGCCCACCCACAAGGACTTCTCTAGCAGGATAGGGACAAAAACATTCGGTCCAACCCCAAGCGTCTGGAGTTGCACGGCAAAAGCCGAGGATAGCGTCTCTAGCTCGCTATAGGTAAGTTCGCCGTCCCATGCGCAGATGGCAGGTGCCTCAGGCCGCGCCCGACATTGCTCCTCTATATCGTGGTGGACACAGGCTCGCTCGGCCTGCGGAAGTTTCTGGTTCCATGCGTATATTTTCTTGCGGTCCGCATCGCTCAGCGTCTCGATGTCTGCTACTGTGGCAAGGGGATTCTCGGCAATTTGCACAACCGCCTGTACTAGGAGGTCACAGAGCGCGAACCCTTGCTCGGGGTCGAGATATTCGTCCCAGAAAGTGAGGGAAAGTCCGATGCCGTCACTGGCAGCATCGATGTTGATAACTAGGCCATACTATCGGATACATTAGCCAAGTAACCTTAGGTCAGGCGCGAGAGTGACGACAGCATGAGCGAAGTCACAGTCTCAAAAGAAAGATATATTACCTCAGTAGGGTCATCGATATCGACCGTATCTAGCCTCACTGCCTGACTGTCCTTACGGCCGTTCGAGTCAGAAGCTCCTGTAGCGGTGCGAGCTTGGTACGATATGACGGAATTGAAGAGCGGGTCGCTATGGAGGCCAAGGTCGTGTTGTATCTTAGCCATGGAACAGTGTTGGTTCTCCATGCTACGAACAAAGTTGCTTTCATTTTGCTCCAGCAATGTCATAACGGGGAGGCTGTCATCTAGCCGAAGACGGCAAACCAGCATGTTGATAAAAAGGCCCACGGCATCTTCAATTCCAGGGAGGGCAATGTCTCGCCCTGAGGCTAGATAGCCAAAACAGACATCCTCAGTCCCCACGTAGCAGCGCAACACAAGAGCCCAGGCCACCTGGATGACGTTGAAAGGTGTAGTTGCATGAGCCTCGCAGAATCGTTGGAGACTGCGGAAAGGAATTTGCCTGGAAGCCGAATGCAATCGTCCTTGAGACGAGGCGCTCAGCTTGGGAAATCTGGATGGCGTGGCCCCGTGCAGATACTGTCCCCAATATTCGTTGACATTCTCTTCAGGTATATCACTCAGGTATGAGATATACTCGCCATATTGCAAAGTTTCGAGACCTACAGTGCTTCCATTCACGATTGCGGCGAGTTCCGCGCCCAGTAACTGAAGCGAGCGGCCATCGACCAGAGCGTGACTAATGGTGAGGGCGCATTCAAAGCCACCATCGGAAGCTTGGCTGACTGCAAAGGACCAGGGTAGTAGTCCCTGCTTCTCTTTCCGTTGGCCGAACAGGCTTGAGATGGAAACATTTCCGGTGCCGTCCTTGAGCACGATCTGGTCGTATGGACGGCTAGAAGGGCTTTCTATAATGACGGTACGCAGTGCTACGTACTTGGCCACCACTGTCTCCCAAGCTGTCTCGATGCACCCAACGGCCATGTGCTCATCGATCCCGGTAATCGTCAGGTTCCATCTTGTTCTGGTTTCGTACAGCGCTTCGTTGCGTCTTTGGCTGAATAGTATCCCGTGCTGAAGGTGTGAGCACGGGTACGCGTCCTGTACACATGATTCCGCGATGCCCAAGCTCGAGAAGTGCTGCAAAAGCGTCTCCATTTCCGGTTGCGTTAGGCTGAGTCGTGGGAAATCACTCTGTGTAAGTTGACGAGGCGCGTGTGACAGTTCCTCAGCGACCGCGCCAAGAAGGCCTTGGCAGGTCGCCAGCCATTCAAGGATCAAGTCTTGGTGAAGGCAGTTCTGGTTGTAGGTGAATTCAAACTGCATACTCTCGCCGGAGACCCAGGCCTCTATGACGAATATGGCTTCTCTCGGCATCTGTGGATCGATGCTGGGGGGAAGATCGTCGAATCTTGACGTGCTTTGCAGAATATTACCCTCTCTCTCTAGGCTGCGGTATGTCCCATGGTAGTTGAGCAGAATCTCCGTAGGTCTCTTCAAATCGAGCAGACGTCGCCCTTCCGGATGCAGATAGCGAGCCGCAAAGTAGCTCCAGCCATTAGCCGGTATCTGTCGCAGAGCATCCTTCGTGCGTCGAACCACATCGACCAAGTCCGACTCCGATGCTGTGGGAACCAGGACGGGGAAAAGCGTGGTAAACCAGCCGACGGTCTCAGATACGTCGATAGAGCTATCCCAATGCTCTCTCCCGTGGCCTTCCTGATGAATAATGGGCGATCGACGTCCCGGGAACGTCCGAAGAAAGGATTCGAGAATGGCAGCATGTATGAGTTCCACGGGTTTTGTTTGTAGAGCCTCATTGGCGATTCCCAGAAGAAGCGTTGTGGTGTTGGAGTCCAATGTAAAACCAGCCGAGATCGCTTCGGAGTTAGTGTTAGTGGCTTGCGAACAACTCCAGAAGTTTTCAACATCGGCCTCGAAGTCGTGAAGATTCTCCAACGACGGTAACGTCTCAAGCGGTTTCAAATGCGTGCGAGCATGTTCTGATTGCGTACGGCACCAGCTGAGATAGGACAGATAATGCTGCGGCAGAAGTGATCCACCTCCTAGCAACACTTCAAGATCGCTGATGATGACTCGCCATGAGACGAGATCCACAACAAGATGATGTGCAACAAGCGAAAGGTAATGGCGGCTATCGACAATGACATGGTCCACCGCCAGTAATGGTCCATTTTGACAATCCACTGCTGCCTGGCTCTCTTCGAGGTGATGATTGAGTTCTGCGCTGGAAATGGCCGCGCTGCGGTAGCGGAATGATTCTTTAACCTTGTCGGTGATCATCTGCACCCACACGCCCGATTCCTTCCGAAACAAGGCGCGCAACATGCCATGTCGCCTCACCAACATGTATATGGCCGTCTCTATTGACTGTGTGGGCTCCCGGAGCTCGACCAGAAAGCTTTGGTTATAGCGAAGCCGACCTTCGGGGACGCGGTCAAAGAAAGCCTGCTGGATCGGAGACAAATCAAATTGTACCCCAGCTTTTTCTTCCCCGCCATTCATTCGACTGATCTTTGTTCTCTTGACTCGCGGTGCTAATTGACGGATTGTTTTGTATCTGAAAATGTCGGGGATAGTGACGGTCAGACCTTTACGGCGGCAGCGGGTCACAAGCTCCATGGCGCCAATCGAGTCTCCGCCGAGATAGAAAAAATTATCGTTCGGGCCAACCTCCTCTGGCTTCTTGTTGAGAACGCAGGCCACACATTCTTGAAGCGACCCCTCGAGCTCGTTCGCCGGATGTGCTTTGTCGACTGAGGGCGCCAGGGCTATATACGCCTGGAGCATATCCAACGTCATCCGGGCAGCCAAAGCCTGGAGAAGCTTGCGGTCCAACTTGCCCGTGGCGCCAAGCGGAACCCGTCCTAGGGGCAAGAAGGCCGTTGGGACCATGAAACGGGGCAGCATCGCACGTAGTTCAGTCTGAACCACGAGAGCGATTCTCTGGAAAGCTGCCGTCGCTGGCATGAGGATATTGTCATCTTCGGGCCAAGGGTCACCGCGGTCGTCTGGCGCGTGAATGAAAGCAGCCAGCATGGGCCTTGCGTCCTCGCCATACGGACGGATCAAGTCGACAACGACGTCAGCATGCTTCGGCAGACACTGGCGTACGTGGAAAGCCACTTCTTCGAGCTCGAGACGTTGGCCGCGCAGCTTGACCTGTGTATCTTTCCGACCTATGTACAACATGGTGCCGTCTGGCTGGTAGCGGGCCAAGTCGCCCGTCTTGTAAAAGCGGCGCGAGACTGCTGACCGGAAGCGATTAATCCAGGCTGGGGGTTGGACATAAGAGGCATCAGTCTGCTCAGGCTGGCGCAGATAGCCGCGGCTGACCGAAGGCCCCTCGAGGAGGATCTCGCCGACAGCACCCACTGGGAGGAGGGCCTGGTGATTGGCGGGATCGACAATCCAGCATACCGTACCCGTGCCAACGCCGATGTCAGGCGGGCCCATTCTCGCCGTTACTTCCGGCTGCGCCATGCACCATGGGCCACACTCAGAATTTCCATAGGCGTTGACCAGCCGGGCATAGCCCTGCCACTGGGACTTGTCGATGACAGTCATAGGCTCTCCCCCAAGGTTCACAGTTCGGAGTGCCGGGACGTGGGATGGGTTGACCAACCGAGCGACTGAAGGCGTGAGTTCGGCCCAGTTTGCGCCAACATCCTGGATCGCCTGTTCGATATCCTGTAGCTGGGAGGCCGAAGGGATGCACACGCAGCCACCCTGAGTGAGGGCCAGCAAATGGTCGCTGATGCTGACGTCAAAGGAGTAGGTGGAGAACTGGAAAGTTCGCGTGTTTTGATCGACACCCTTGGGTCCCTTGTTCGTCTCCAGCGTCGAGCAGCAGGAGGCGTGCTCCATGACGACTCCTTTAGGTTTTCCGGTAGAACCCGAGGTGAAAACAGCGTACACGACGTTGGATGGCTGAACATGGACTGCAGGAACTGCAAGAGTGGGCCACGTGTTTTCGCTTGTGGCACTTACGACAATTGTGTGAGCCGAGACGTGTTGCAAAATGTCTCGATGGGTGGCCGAGGCGAGAACGAGGGTGGGCTGTGTGTCAGCGCAAATGTCTTCTAGGCGGCGGACTGGGGTTGTCGGATCCATAAGAACAAAGGCCGCACCAGCTCGCATAACAGCCATCATGGCTACAACAGTCCACTTGGACTTTTCAAATACTAACGGGATATACGTCTCAGGACGCGCTCCGAGTGTCACAAGATAGGCCGCAAGCCGACCAGATAGATGGTCCAACTCTCCATAGGTCAAGTCTCCGTCCCAAGAATGCACGGCTGGGGAGGAGGACCTGTCTTGGAAGTACTTCTCAACGAGATGATGTACGCAACGCTCATGCTTTGTCGGTGTGTTCCAATTCCATTGCTTGATCAAGCCCACATCCTTGGTACTCAGCAGACTGGCCTGCACAACGGTGGCCTGAGGCAGCGCCACGATAGTATTGATTGCTTCTCGGAAAGTGTAGATGAGCCGATCGGCTTGCTCGGACGACAAGTACTCATGCTCCCAATAGTCGATGGAAAGCGCAACAGTTTGCTTGTTAACCAACGCATGCAAGGAGAGTGCGTATTCGGTGGGGTCGGCCCCTTGCTCACTGGTGACAACTATGGAGAAATCAGACGAGTCCTGGTGCGGAGTGTTGTCTTGGACAGATATGCTCGAGTTGAATAGCTCAGCCGTATCGATAGCGAGAGCATGGCCTATCTCTGCTAGCGAACAGTTTTGATAATTGAGGCTGTTCAAGATGTCACCCTGCACAGTGCGCAACACGTCTAGGAGCGTCGCTTCAGGGTGTAACTGAACGTGGCAGATCAGCGCATTTATGAAGGGGCCGACCGTCTCTTCTGCTCCTGAAACAGGTACGTCGCGCCCAGACGTCGTGTAGGCAAAACTGGGCGCATCAGACTGAACATAACACCGAAGAACAAGCGCCCATGCGACGTAGACGACATTCGAGACAGTCAATTGATATTGGGCACAGAAGTGGTGAATGAGCGATGCGTCCTCAATTTCAAGATTGACACTCCGCAGCACCCGCTCGGACGGTTTTGATGAGGCATGCATTCGGGTCGCGCAAATCCTGGGGAACAAGGAGGGCGAAATATCCGAGAGCTTCTTTTTCCAATAGGCCACTATGGCATTGGAAGGAGTCGACTGCAGGAATTCAATGTAGCTACGGTAGCAAGGCCCTTCCCCAACCGGGCCTACGCCAGCGTACACGTGCTGAACCTCGCGCGACAGGATGGCGATGGACGTGCCATCGATGAGAGCATGGTTCACTTGCAAGTCGCAGAAGATTTCGCCCGTTGTGGTATGACACAGAATTAGATGCCAGGGTGGATATGGCGATTCGAGGTTACTCGCTTCACGCTGGTTGCGAATCAGGCTGAGAGGATCGTCGCCAAGACAGTGTAGCTCGGTTATGTTATTTGGTGTTGACCGCAAGACGACCTGGCTATAGAAGCCATCATCGGCGCTGCTCTGCGCAAATATGGTTCTGAAAATGGCATGTCGCTGGAGGACAGTTTGCCATGCCTTTCGGAGGCGAGGCAGCTCCACTGTTGCTGCCTGGGTGGCGTGAAATCTCCAAACGAAGCGAGGGTGGTAGAGATGGACATTCTTGGACTGGCTCAGGAGTATGCCACGCTGGATTGGCGCGCACGGATATGCGTCTTGAATGGCTGGAAAAGCTTCGTTGCCCTGTGACGTGGCCAGATGCTCGACTTGAAGCACAAAGCTGCTGAGGGATTCATACGTGAGTTGGAGCAGGGGAAAGTCGCTCAGGGTGTAGGCAGGTGCTCTGGAGGCTAGTTCTGCGACTGCCGAGGCGAGGGACTCACAGTACGTGTTGGCCCACTTGGTCATGAGGGCATCATTATTTGTTTCTGCGTTGTACATGAATGACACGACAAGCTCGTCTTGAACCATACGGCAAGAAACCTCGACGGGGGCAGCGTGCATTGCATGTGGGGTGTTGCTGAGTCCATGGTCTTGGTCATAACACGACGCTTCGAAGCTTAGGGCTATCTCGTGTTGCCATGGTGCAGAAGGCTCGCCGGTGTTGAGTCGAGACGTTGGAGGTAGTCTTCGTGCATCCTTGGCGAGGCGGACCAGATGGACCAAGTCATCGAGGTGGGTTGCATCAAGCTGAAGGGGCGAGAGGGTAACGAAACAGCCTACAGTGCGCGAAAAGTCCGGCGAGGCATGCCCCGATTGGCGGCCGTCGCCTTGGACGCATATGGTGGGCTTTTCATGGAGCCCGAATATCTGGGAGAAGGAGTGAACGAGGGCGGCGTGCAAAATGTCCAGAGGCTGTGTTGAGAAGGCGCGATTAGCGTCCCCGCAGAGCAGGCGACTGCCTGGCACGCCGAGGTGGACTTGTCGGCAGGTACGATGCAGATGCGGATGCGCTTGCGTAGCGGGTTCCATCCACGCAGCCGCGCCATCTGGCGTGGTACTGAGATGCGCCTTGTTGCCCGGCAGGCTACACCACGTCTGGAAGGCTGCTGGGGCTGCGTCATCAGAGGCGGTCCTGACATGCCCGGGCTGCTCAAGCATGGCAAGCATGTCGGCCGTCAAGATGCGGCAAGAGGCTGCATCCGCAACGAGCCCATGACAGAAGAACAGCATGTAGGTGCGCTGGCCATGGACGTCGGGTTGAGCCTGGAGCAGGCAAACCTCGAGCAGTGGGCCGTTCCTAACGTCGAGCCGGCTGGGTCCTTGCTGCCGCGCGACATGGACCTCGCCCTCGTTGGACATAGGGGCAGGCTGCACGCGCACGTGGTACGACGTTTCCACCTCCTCTGTGATGCGCTGCTGCCACACTCCCTGGCTGGCCGCTTCGAATCGCGTACGGAGCGCCGCATGACGGTCAACCAGGACCCCCAGGGCGCGTCGTAGCCACTCTGCATCCACGCCTGGCCGGCTGCTCTCCACGACAAAGCTCCGAAAGCATCCCACGCTGTCGGTGCCAAGGCAGCGTTCAATCAAGCATCGCTGCACCAGGGACAAAGGGAAGGCGTGGCCACCAGCCGCGCTGTGCAGCGCCATCTGGTGGAGCGTTGGGTGCTGGAAAATGGCATGCATCGTGAGGGCAACCCCCACCGCGCGGCAATCGGCGACGAGCCGCATAGCCGACATGGAGTCGCCGCCCAGACGGAAGAAGCTATCGTGGATGCCCATAGTGTCCGCTGGCATGCCCAGGACCCGGCTCCATGCGTCCCGCAGCGTGTACTCGGCCTGTGTCGTCGGCGCCTGCTTGGCCAAAGGCCCCGCGGCCAAGTAGTGCGCCATCTCGTCCCGCCTTAGCTCGACCGCTCGCCTTCGGAGCAGGCGGCGGTCCGTCTTACAGGTGCTAGTCATGGGCACCCAGGCTAACGGGAGGAACAGGGTTGGTACCATATGCTTGGGCAGTCGGCTCTCAAGATGTGCCTGGCACCGTGCCACCTTGGCGGCAAAGGCCTCGTTGGGAGCAGCCAGCACGTCCGGACGCACTGCAGCCTCGCCCACAGGCGCGAAGTCGCCGTCTTTGATAAAGGCTGCCAGCACCGCACCAGAGCCCTCGGCCGTTGGCGAGAGCACGTCTACCAGAACGCGTTCGGCTCCCTCAAAACTGTCGGCAATGTGATGCTCGATATCTCCCGGGTGGATGCGCTGACCCCGTAGCTTGACTTGTGTATCCTTGCGGCGTACATATCGGATAGAGCCGTCGTAGCAGTACTGCGCGAGATCGCCAGTCTTGTAAAGTCGGACGGGGCCTGGACGATGCAGCGCCGACGCCCAGGCAGGATCCTTCACAAACACCGAGTCTGTCAGGATGGCGTCGTTCAAGTAGCCCCGACCGAGAATCGGCCCTTCGATGACCAGCTCCCCAATGGCGCCGACTGGCAGCAACTTGTTGTGGTCGCCAGCGTCAACGATCCAGCACACGCTGGCACTCTCCCGCCCAATGTTCCGTGGGTCGCCTGCAAGATCCAAGTTCACGGTAGCGAGGACTGAGCACTCCGTGGGGCCATACGTCTCGCGTAACGACACGTGCCCGCGCCAAGTCTTCACGTCGTCATGCGAAGGCGTCTCACCGATGAGCACCACCGTCTGCAACGAAGGCACCTGTTCGGGGGTGAGTAGACGCACCACAGGCGGCGTCGTCTGAATCCACGTCGCGCCGTACTGTCGGATCGCGCCCGCTAGCTCGTTTATCCTCTGGCTCTCTGAAGGGATGCAGACGCACCCGCCTGCCATAAGTGTCCCTAGATGGTCCATGATGCTGACATCCCATGAGTACGCTGAGAACTGCAGGACCCGCGTTGCGCCGTCTATAGCCAGGTGGCGATGCTGGGCCCGCGCACTGGCACAGAAGGACCTATGTTCGATCAGAACGCCCTTTGGCTTGCCTGTCGAGCCTGAGGTAAAGACGGCATACGCGAGCTTGTCAGGCTGCGCTGGATACCTCCCGGATTCGCAGGTTAACGTCGTGGCCCACTCATCTGCCTGATCATAGCCAATCTGTACGGTGTGCAGAACAGAGGGCTGGGCAGAACGTGAAGCTGCCGAAGTAATCAAGACTTGGCACGCGATCTCATCACAAAGGACCTGTTTGTGTGCTAGTGGGAGAGACGGATCCACCAGTGTAAAGGCGCCACCAGCCTGAAGGACGGCGAGCATCGATACAGCTGTCCACAGGCTCTTCTCCAGATGGATCGCCACAAATTGCTCACTTCGAACGCCCTTCTGGACCAGGACTTGGGCCAGGAGCGAAGCCAGTCGTCCCAGCTCTCCGTAGCTGAAGCTTCCATCCCACGCGTACACGGCAGGCGCCGAGGGTTTCTCGAAAATGACGTGCGAGATGGCGTCGTGGATGCACTCATCATAAGCCTCGGGAAGTACTTCGTTCCGCGAATGCAGCCACTGTAGGTGATCTGGGCCTACGAGGGAGATATCTTGCACGCGAGTATTTACCGAGCGCACAGCACCCAACAAGGCTGCCTCGAATGCCCCTGCCAGGTCCGCCACTTGTGCCGGAGGAAACGAATGCTCGTAATACCATAGGGCGTAGTCCATACTATCTTTGGATAGACTGATGTTTAAAGTGAGATCATACTGTCGCGCAATGGCTATTAGTCATACATCCAGAATATTTGCAACAGCACCACGTATATTGGGGTAGCAGCTGGGAAGGAAGTGTCTTACCTCTGTCGGGTCGTCGCCTGTGATCGGACGCATGGTCAGACCCGAGGGCTCACCCTGCAATTCTTTCTCCTCCGTTCTGGTTTGGAGCGATACGATAGTATTGAACAACCCCCGGCCAGACACACCGAGTTCGTGGAAAATCTCAACGAGGGCTGTGTGCTGATGGGCAAGACCCTGAAGAAAGTCTGAATGAACTGACTGAGCCGTCTCAGCAATAGCTTTGTTACCCTCTAGATGGATCCTGCAAACCACCATGTTTATAAAAGGCCCAACGATCTGTTCTACGTTGGCAACTGGCACGTCACGGCCAGTGACCAAGTATCCGAAGCAGGGCGTTTCGACCCCGGTATAGGCCCTTAAAACCAGCCCCCAGGCAAGTTGGACTAGGTTGAACATAGTAACACCGTGCCGTTCGCAGAATGCGCGCAACTCTACGAGACAAGGAATCGTCCGGAAGACGTACTTCACAGCAGTACCACGTTCTATCGTGTCGCTGTTGACGTTAGGTACCATACAGGGTTCTGTTCCCACGAGATAGTTGGCCCAGTAGCGAGTGGCGGCGTCGCGTGGAAGGTCGTGCACATAAGCGATATAATCTTTCAAGCCCGTCGTTAGCTGTGGGAGTCGCTTGCCATCGTAGGCCGCTGCGATCTGCTGTTGGAGGAGGTTAACCGAGACGCCGTCTACGAGCGCGTGAAGGACTCGAAAGTCGCAGGTCAAGCTACCATCTCCCACCTCATGCAGTACAAGGTGCCAGGGGCATATCGGCGTGATGGGCACGACATCATCGGCCGCGGGAGGTGGGCCATGTGTATCTAGGATGATGACATGTCCTGGTGTGGACTGCAGGACGACCTGATCCCAGACCTGGCCCGCATGACTTTCTAGAAAGATGGTGCGGAGAGCCGCGTGGCGCTGTACCACCTCTTGCCACGCGCCGAGGAATCGATGGCGGTCGACACCCCCCGGGGCTCGAACTTGCCAGGTGGTGCCCGTCACGTAATGGGCCGCGTTCTTAGCCTGGCTGAGCAGCATGCCTTGTTGGATGCCGGTACAGGGATAGGCATCCTCGATCTCGATCGGGATGTTGGCGCTGAAGACGGTGGCCACCTGTTTAAGCATCTGGTCGAGACCACGGTAGTCGATATCCAGGAGAGGGACGTCAGCGAGCGTGAGCTGCTTCGGGGTTGAGGGTAGGATGTGACAGGCTTCCTCCAGTGCAGTTTGGAAGGCCTCGGCCCATTTTTCTATCCGCTCAGAAGAGATGTGTCGGTGATATGAGATGCGCACCTGCAATTGTCCCTGTTTGACTACGGCTGCAACCTCGAAGAGCTCCGAACGGGGTATCTGGGCTGCCGTGTCGAATCGCGTGTATTGGGTCTCGTGCAATTGAAACAGGGCATTCTTATCTTCCAGCTCATGAAAAGACCCCGCAAAGTTGAGCACAATCTCCAGGGGAAGTGCTAGTCCTTGGGCACCTTCGCTATGTAGGAGCTTCGTGGCAAAGTATTCCCACCCGTTGCGTGGTACTTGGCGACGTGCGTCCTTAGTCCGCTTGACTGCCTCGAGAAGGCTCTGCTCAGGCTGTACCACCGCCGGCGTGGGCCAGATGGTCGTAAACCACCCGACCGTCCTTGAGAGGTCGATGGACGCGTCCCATGCCTCTCTACCATGGCCTTCATTGTGAACAACGGGAGTCGCCCGGTCGGGAAACGTTTTTATGAATGAGTAGATAAGGGCAGCCTGGAGTATCTCGACCGGCCTTGTCTGGAACGCGGTGTTAGCGTCCTTGGTGAAGCTGACTGTCGCTGCCGGGCTCAGGCGAAAGACACTGGACACAACATCTGCGTACGTATTCGCCTTATCTACCAAGCCCCAGTAGCGTAGGGTTTCTGCCGGTATAGGTCCATGCTCGTCTATGGATCCTGGCGTGGTGATTGAGGGTTGTATACGTTCACGGACAAATTGGTTCTGAAGATGGCACCATGTCTGGAAGGACAGAGATGACCGTGCATCCCCAATTTCACATGCGGACTTGTTTCGAAGAAGCTGCTCCAAGTCTGCGAGAAGAATGCGCCATGATACATGATCTACCACCAGGTGGTGCGCCACCAGTAGCATACACTGTCCTTGGTTCTCGATGTCGAAAAGGTGGACGGCGAACAGAACGCCCTCATTGATGTCGAGGCTTTGCTGCATCTCCAGCACCCTCTTTTCAACAGCGATATGATTGGGCACGCTAGAAAAATTGAAGAGAGGTGGCTCCGGCTCGGACAAGATGGTCTGCATCCATTCGCCGTTGATTTGGTGGAAGCGGCATCGCAACATGGCGTGGCGTCGCAAGAGAATATGAATAGCCGATTGCAAATCATCTGGTGCGATTCGTTGAGTGAGCGCGACGAAGAAACTCTGATTGAAGTGATTCAGCAAGTTGGGGGGCATGCCGGCGAAGAACATCTTCTGGATTGGGGACAGGGCGAAGGGCACCTCGGCTGTCTCGTCTGGGTGCGACACTACCATCAACATCGAGTTGTCTTTCTGTGCCCGGACTGCAAGTTTCTCGAGGGAGGATTGGCTCAGCACATCAGCAACCGTGAGGCGGATGTGTTGCGCATTCCCGTGGGCTACCATTGACATGGCACTGATGGAGTCGCCGCCTAGTGAAAGGAAGCCATCATCAATGTCGATCTCTTCCGGGTTTACGTTCAAGACTTTGGCACACAGCATCACGAGAGCTTGCTGCATCTCGGTTTCTGGGGCGCGCCTATGTTTGCGGGTCTTGAGGTACGCCTGGAGGTCTTTCCATGATCGGCCGTTACCCAGCGCTCGCAACGCTTTCCTGTCAACCTTATCGGAATTCGATAGCGTAAAGTGGTTCACAGGAAGAAACAAGACTGGAATCATGTAGGCTGGGACCGTATCCCGAAGCTGCCGCTCTGCTTCCTGTACATCGGCCAGGAACGAGGGGCTTGGGGGTAAGAGCGTCATCTTACCATGCTCATTGTGTCGGCTCAGGGGAGCCGGATAGTCCACAAAAGCCGAAAGGAAGGCTTGATCCTGTCGTTCGCGCGGCTTTAGAACTTCTACAATGACGTTTGTCGCTTGGGGAAACAGGGGATGGAGGTTGTTCTCGACCTCACCCAGCTCGATTCGGTGACCCCGGACTTTCACTTGGTGGTCTTTCCGGCCAACGAATCGTAGATGTCCAGCCGGCAGTAGCTGGACAAGGTCTCCTGTTCGGTATACCCGGGGCTGAGTATCCCCTCGAAGACGTTGGAGCCACTGCATTGGATTTATAAAGGCGGCGGCCGTCCCCTCGGGATCCTTCAGATAGCCGCGGCCTACAATCGGCCCTTCGATGATCAGCTCTCCCACTGCGCCCACTGGAACGAGTCGCTCGACGTCGGCGGGATCAACGACCCAGCCCGCGCCGCCTGTCATCATTCCGAGCGCCTGTGGATGGTCGTTGGCCGTGACAGGAAACTGGAAGCTGGAAGTGGCCGAGCACTCAGCAGGCCCGTACCCGCTCGCGAGGCGGTCTTTCCACCGCTCTACATCGGCGGTCGTCTTTGCTTCGCCGCTCAGTGCGATTATATCAAGCTTCGCTGCGACTTCTCTGTCCAGCGTTCTTGCGACAGATGGGACGAGCTCCAGATACGTGGCTTCGGACTCGCGCAAGCAAGCCGCGAAGTTGTTCTTCACGTCCTCTGTCCGTGGAATATAGATGCTGCCACCAACCATTAGGGGAACCAGGTGGTCAGTAATGGCGACGTCAAAGGCGTACGAGGCGAACTGGAAGACGCGTGTTGTTGGACCAAAGGGAAGAACCTGACACACACCGGCGATGCTAGCACAGAAAGAGGCATGCTCAATCAGAACGCCTTTTGGCGTCCCTGTTGATCCACTGGTAAAGACACAATACAGAAGTCGGCTTGGGTCTGAAGGAGGCAGCGCTTTTGCGTGCTCAGAACCAACGGATCCGCAGATTGCCACGTCGGAACAGAGTTGCACTGACGCATTTGGGGCCACAGCGGCGGCCAACGAAGCCTGCTTCTCCGAGGCAATAACAACCTCAGCACCGACGACTTCGCATAGCAAACGTAAGCGCGCTGCAGGTTGGGTAGGATCCAGCAGAAGAAATGCCCCTCCTGCCAGGAGCGTACCAATAATACCGACAACCGTCCACATGGACTTCTCAAATAGCAAGGGAATGATAGGCTCGTGACCTAGTGCATGATTTTGCAACGAGGCTGCCAAGCGTGACGACAATGCCGCGAGTTGCCTGTAGGTCAACTGCCCGTCCCATGCCTTCACCGCCACCGCCTCGGGCGTACTCTGGCTATGGCACAAGATCATGTCGTGAACACACCTTGGTTCAAAAGGCGGAATTGTGTTCCACTGTGACAAAGACTTTATCCCTTCAGGACTGATAGTCAAGGTGTCCTTAACGAGTGGACAGTTGGCCATGATCTGGGATGTGGTGTGCATCAACTGGAAAAGCATCATGTTCATGACACCAGGTTCAGTGACAGCACGGTCGTAGGCTACGCAGAACTTGATCGAAGAGGCGAAAAGCTCACATGTGATGTTGATAGCATAGGAGGAGAACGCTCGATCGTCATTGCCTGACTTGGCATCGACGATAAAATCGGCGAATTCAGTGCCAGACTCTGACGGCTCCATCCACTCAATGATGAGTAAGCTCTGGAGCTGGCAGGCCAAGGCCGCCTCTGGGCTCAATGTACGTATCTGCTGGAGCCCAGCCTGCTCGTACGGGATCATCTGCGTGCTGCGCGTCCGCAGCGCCTCTAAGGCGTCCTGTGTCCGCTGCGTGGGATCAACGCGCACGCGAAACGGTACCGTGGCAATGGTTGGCCCTGTCATGGCCTCAATCCCTGGCACGGACGCATTGCGGCCCGCTACCGTAGTACCAAACACGACGTCATCGAGCCCCGTGTAGCTAGAGATGACGGCCGCCCATGCCAGACGTAGGATGGTCGAGGTTGTGAACTGAGCATTTGCATTGGGGTATTCAAGGGTATGCTCCAGAACCTCGGTGGCTGACGGGGCGTAGTGAACAGTAGGAAGTACAGGAAATGGGGCAGACGACAGACCCTGCAGCTCCGTTTTCCAGAAATGTGACATTTCAGTCACGTTGACTTGGCCTAAGTACGCCACAAACCCGTTGAATGGACATGAGTGCAGCGCATGTCCCAGGTACGCCGATTGGAGGTCCTTGAAAAGCAGCGGGAGTGACCAACCATCGTATAGTGCGTGGTGCAGCGTGAGCACCAATATGACCTGGGCCTGTCCGGGTTCTTGGACTATGGTAGCGCGGGTAAGCGCATCGCCTAGAGTCACGGTAAAGCGAGTTGCTCTTGGAACACCGTCGTCACCACAGGTTGTTGTGTGCCACTGGACCCCGGTATTAACGACAGTCTGGTGTAATTCGCCATCAGCACCCTGGAAGAACCTGGTGCGCAAGATGCAGTGTGCTTCCACGGTGGCCTCCCATGCCCGCTTGAGTTTCTCCTTGTCGCCATGAGCTGCAAGTTTCAGGTGGAAGTGGGCTTGGTAGGAGCCTGGACGCTTCAAGCTTAAGGCCAGCAGGCCTGTCTGGAGCGCCGTGGCCGGGTACACGTCCTCGATGTCGTCGACGGCCACGGAGCAAGCATCAGCCGCTTGATGCCGCATATTAGACACATTTTCCTGGTCGCTCACGAGGCTAAAAGGCGCAACATGTGGCAAAGCCGCCGTGATCTGACTGGGGCGCAACTTAGCCGCCAGGTCAGCCAGCGTGGGCTGAATGAGGACATGCGCCACTTCCACAACCCAGCCGGTGGATCGAATATGACCAACAAAATGGATTGCTGAGATTGAGTGCCCACCAAGCTGTATGAAGCTATCATTCATCCCGACGTCCTCAATTGGCACGTTGAGCACGCGGCTACAGGTGGACTGAACCAGTCTCTCAGTGGCCGACGCCGGAGGCTTCTTACTCTGTTCTACCAGCATGTACCGGCGAACGTCAGCTTGTGTGAAGCGCGAGGCCGCCTGTTTAAGCTTTCGGCGATCAGCCTTGCCTGTCGCAGTGAGTGGAATCTGCACGACAGGAAAGAACACGGCCGGCAGCATAACCGCTGTCAGCGTCTTGCGCAAGCGCGCCAGTACGAACTCTACGCATCTGCTAAACGCCTCTGTAACCAAGGCGAAAGGAGGGTAAGCAGATGGTACGCCCATCAGGCTTGCAAATTCTGGAGCCATCTGGACGAAAACCGCAAGGATGGGCGTGGAACCCTCGTCCACAGACGTGAAAACGTCTACAACCAGGCGCGCAGCTTCAGGAAACCCATCTTTGACGCGGTATTCTATCTCGCCCAGCTCGATCCTCTGCCCTCGTATCTTAACCTGCGTATCCTTGCGGCCGATGTAGAGCAGCGATCCGTCATCCGGCTGGTACTGTACCAAGTCACCGGTCTTATAGAATCGGCGGGGGGCGCGTGCTGGGAGCATCCTTCGTGTCCACTCTGGATCAAGTATGAATGAGGCCTGTGTCTTGACCACATCGTGGAGGTACCCGCGCGCTAGGATTGGACCCTCGACCAGCAGCTCCCCCGCCGTGCCCATGGGTGCCAGTTTGTCGTGATCGTCTTTGTCCACGACCCAGCTCGCGCTGCCGGTCGCGAAGCCGATGTTAGCGGGGTGGTGGCCCTGGCGGTGGACAGGCGCTAAGATGGAGCAAATGACGGAGCACTCTGCCGGGCCGTATGCGTTGATCAACTTGACGCGGTCGGCCCAGGTAGCCACCAAGCCCGCTGTCATGGGCTCGCCTGCAAGAGCCAATGTGCGTAGGCCAGGAACATCTTCGGGTCGAAAGAGCTCGGCCATTGATGGTGTCATGAGGGCGTAGTCGGTTTCCATCTTCTTGATGGCACCACCCAGATCACTGTGGATGTGCGTGGTGCGAGGGATACATAAGCAGCCACCTGCCAAAAGGACAGCTAGATGGTCGAATATGGAGACGTCGAACGCGTAGGCCACTGCTTGCAGGGCCCGTGTAGAGGGTCCCAGGCCTAGGGTATCTTGAATGGCAAATGCGCTCGCTAGAAATGCACCGTGTTCGATGACAACACCCTTAGGAGTCCCAGTCGTGCCACTAGTGAATACTACATACAGCTTGTTCTGGGCCCCGGCCCCGTGTGGCAGCATCAACACCGTGTCGTCGTGAGCGTCGTTCAAGTCTAGCTGGTCGAGATAAAGAACATCAGAAGCGATATGTCGGGCTGTTGAGGAGAGTGTACTCGTGGATAGCAATATAGCCACATCTAGTTGGGAGCTAATACTTTTCAAGCGGTCAGGTGGGTGGGCCGGGTCCAGCATGACGAACGCGCCACCTGCCCGGAGGACTGCCATCATGGCCACGGGCGTCCATCTGCACTTCTCCAAGTATAACGGAACTGTGATTTCAGGGCCTATACCCCTCTGCACAAGTATCGAGGCCAGTTGAGCCGACAGGTTGTTCAGCTGCCCATATGACAAGTCTCCGTCCCAGGCATGAACCGCGGGCGCCTCGGGTCGGTTCTCGAAATGGGATCCAATAAGGGCATCTACCGTGGCATCTACCGTGGATGGTATGTGTTCGTTCCAAGATCGTAGCTGGTGCGGCATCTCTTTTCCGTCCAGTGCGATGTCGGCCACGGAGAGAGACACTGGACCAAGCAACTGGAGGATGACATTGTGAAACTGGCTGACGAGATTGTTGACCTTGGCTGCACCCAGTACTTGTGGGTCGAAAGACGCTTGCGTCAGAACATGATCTCCGTTCAGATTGCACAACAGCGTCAGAGGGTAGGTGTTGATGGCAGCAATATTGTCCGTGGAACGGTGCACTTCATGCAATAGTTTAGGCTGGTAGAAACTCCCCTTTTGCTGAACCACAAGTAGATTTTGGAACTGACATGCTATAGCGGCGTCTGCACTGATGTCTCGGATTCTGTGTAACCCAGTTCCTTCGTAGGGAATCATGGCAATCGTTTGTCTCTGCACGTCATCTAGACATTGCTCTACAGTGGATGAGGGATGGATCTGTACCCGCAGCGGAACGGTGGCGATGGTTGGGCCAGTCATCTCCTCTATGCCGTCTACGGGAGCGCTGCGTCCGGCAACAGTGGTCCCAAAGACAACATCGTGCGAGTCTGTGTGCTTCGCAAGGACGAGGGCCCATGCAAGACGGACAATGGTTGAAAGGGTAAAGCGGGAGCAAGCCGCCGGTATGTCCTGCCTCTGCTCGATGAGTTGCATTTTGGCAGCCTCGAGGGCATGATAGTTGTGTCTCTGTGGCTTAGGGAACAAGATAGTGTCGATGCTCTCAAAGTAAGTTTGCCAGAACTGACGGCATGAAGCAGGATCCAGACTGCCAACGTAGTCTATAAACCCCGTGAAAGACTGGATCCTTGGCTGTATACCCCTGTAGGCCGACTCCAGCTGTTCGAGTAGAAGTGTCATGGACCAACCATCGTAGACAGCATGGTGGATGGTTAGGACCAAATGGGTCAGGTCGCCTTCGATGCCCAAGTAGCACCGCATCAGAGGCATTCCCAGGCCAATCTGTTGCTTCTTCGCTACATTTTTTGCTTCCTCAAGACCGGAGTATTGGAGATAGCAAGCGGTGCCGTGCTTTAGCACGACTTGGAACAAATAGCCAGATGGGGCTTGTATAATTCGGGTTCGCAGGATAGGATTTGCCGCCACTACGGTGTCCCAGGCATTCGCCATCTGGCGAGGGTCTATGTCGCGGCCGAGTTCATACTCATACTGTGCAACATACGAGCCTTGGTGCTTGATGGTGAGACTCATGAGGCCCTCTTGGAGCGCCGTGCACGGGTAGATGTCCTCGAGCTCATCTGATGCCACGACACAACTCTCCATAGCCGTTTCCCGTAGTGTCTGCGTCCGGTGATCTGGCGGTATGAGACTGTAAGGAACGTACTGTAGGCCTTTTGACAGAGGCGCGGTTTCCTTTAATCCCGCCGCCAGACCGGCCAGTGTGGGCCGTTGGAAGACGTCCGAGACGGCCAGTGAATAGCCTTCGGCACGCACAAGTCCCACCAGCTTCATAGCCATGATTGAGTCTCCACCGCTGTGGAAGAAGTCGTCCTGGATACCGAGAGCCTCTTTGGGACGGCTGAGAACAACGGCCCACAGACGCTGCATCGCCTCTTCAGCTGGTGTGGTCGGCTGCGGCTTTGGTCCGTCTTGCGCCCAGACCAGTCTTTCAAGGTCTGCGCGCGATAGTGCCAACACCGCCTCCCGCAGGAGCCGGCGATCGGTCTTGCCTGTCTTGGACATGGGTATGCGCGTGACGGGGATCATCAGTTGGGGAATCATGTAGTTGGGCACGGTAGCAGCAAGCTTAGCTTGGGCGCCGTAAACAAGAGCGCGGAAGCTCTCGCCAGCTACCATCAGCTCCACTCCATCACCCTCGCTCCCCGACCCTGGCTGGATAAAGGCGACCAGAAACTTAGTGTTGTCATGATCGTTAGTTTGAACAGCATCCAATACAACACTATGGTCGGTAGGAAGATGGCGCCTGATCTGGGACTCAATGCCCTCCAAATCGATTCTCTGCCCGCGAAGCTTGACCTGCGTGTCCTTGCGTCCCAAATAGCGCAAAGTCCCGTCGATGTTGTAGGACACTAGATCTCCCGTCCGATATAGGGCACCTCGACCCTCAGAAAAGGAGGCGGGTAGCCATGGTGTCCGCCCTGGTAGAAAAGCTTTTTCTGTGGCATTCGGTCGCTGGAAATACCCCCGGGCTACTACAGGGCCCTGAAAAAGCAGCTCTCCTACCGCGCCCACCGGCACGAGTCGATTGACGTTGAACTGATCCACCACCCATGCCTCCCCGCCAGCAGGGCGTCCAATCGTACCAGGAATCCAAGTATCGAGTTCGATCTTGTGAGTAGTGCAAATGGTACACTCGGCTGGACCGTAGGCGTTGAACAGCTGCACCCGACCTGCCCAGAGGTCGATGATGTCTTGCGGTATGATCTCTCCTGCCAGACTTACTGTGCGCACGTTACTTATGGTCTCGGGCTGAAATAAGCGGAAGAGCGACGGCGTGGATATCATCCAGTTTATCCGACTATCGCGGATGAACCCAGGCAGATCGTTCACTCTCGCGGCTTCAGAAGGAATACAGATGCATGCTCCCGCCGTGAGAGTGGTAAGTACTTCGAAAACGCTGACGTCAAAGGTATAGGATGCGAAATGCAAGACTCGAGACGCTGAGTCCATGAGCAGACGGTCTCGCTGTTCCCGAAATGACGTGCTAAGGCTACTATGCTGCAGGATGATGCCTTTGGGACGACCTGTGCTTCCTGAAGTGAATAACAAAAAAGCAGCGCTTTCAGGTCGCACATGGGCGCTTGTAGTCGCATCCTCTCGATTCGACCAGAGGGCAAGCATATCGAAAGATACAACGACTTTCTTGCAAGGGCAACCGAAATCAATCTGGGCGGTCTGGGACGAAACCAGGATAATGGATGGGGATGTCTCCTCGATAATGGCTTGCACTCGCTCAACATGCGCCTTAGGGTCAATGGGTACGCAGACCCCGCCGGCCAGCAAGACCGCCAACATGCTGACCGGCCCCCAGACTGATTTTTCAAGACACATAGGAATGGGCATCTCGCTCTTCGCGCCGTGAGACCGCAGCACCGCAGCAAGACGGTTGGCGTGGTCCCACAGCTGATGGTATATCAGGGCGCCGTCCCAAGCATCGATGGCCAGCCGCTCGGGGAACTGAAGGCACATTCTCTGGATCTGGTCTTGTACGGGCTCATTGACCGGTGTGGCAGGAGGGCTGTTCCAGGAGAGCATGCGGGCCAGGTCAGGGTCGCTGACGAGGTTCAGCTCGGACACGCTAGCATCCGGACGCGCAACGATGTCAGCGATGACGGTGCTGAATGTGCGCCCGAGACTACTTGACATAGCGTCCGAAAGTTTGCCAACTTCGTGGATGAGAGAAATGCCGATGGTATCGCGAGAGACGATGACATTCACGACTATTTCGAACTATGTACATGTTAGGTCAGCCGGTTGTTCCCCGGTACTCTATTTGATCTATCATGGGGAGCGTGGTAGTGACTTACCTCGGTGGGTTGTTGATCCCAAATTTGTTCAAATTTGATACTTTGATTGGCCTCCACGGGCACATCCTTCTGGTATGTGATGATAGTGTTGAAGAGTCCAGCACCGGAATGCCCTAGCACACGGTAGATGTCGGACAAGGCGCAATGTTGGTGGGGAAGACTTTCCGTGAAGCGATCGCGGCACTGCGTAAGACCATGTCTGACACTGACGCCTCGATCTAGATCGACTCGGCTGACCAGCATGTTGATCAGTGGCCCGACAATATCCTCGGCGCCATTGACGGGGATATTGCGACCCGACGTTAGATAACCGAAGACGGGGGCATTGTTTCCTGTGTAACACTGGAGCGCAATGGCCCAAGCGAGCTGTATCACATTGAATAGCGTCACACCCTCCGTTTCGCAGAAGTGGCGGAGGCCCGAAGAGTCGTCCAGCACAATTTCAATGTTTTGAAGGGGTCGTTCAGCAGTCTGGGGCTCAATACTATCAGAGAGGGGAAAGAGGCAAGGCTCCGTCTCCCGGAGGTAGGTTTTCCAATACTCGAGAGCACGTTCTTGGGGCAACTGACGCAGGTACTCAATGTATTGGCCATATTGTGGAGGCTCCAGAGCATGGAGATTTCCATCGTACGCCAGTCCGGCATCACGAACCAGGACACGCATCGAGTCGCCATCCATTAGGGCGTGGCTGATGTGGAGCTCACAAGTTACCATCTCACCACACTCGTTGGCCACGAGTTTAATCTTCCATGGAAGTATGGGCTTCTCATCTTCGTCCCACTCGTTCCGGGGCGATGCGGAAAGCTTGCCATCAAGGTGGCGCACCACTAAGGCTAGGCGGGGATTTTTCAGGACCACTTGGTGATACGCCCCATTACGGTCTTGTACAAAGACTGTCCGTAAAATGGCGTGAACCATGGCTGTCTTCACCCAGGCGTCACGCAGCCGGGCTAGGTCAAGCGGATGCCCATCGCGTGACCGCACTTCCCAGGTGGTGGAGGAACTGTACGTCCAGGGGCAGCGCGCCTGGCTGAGCAGCATACCTTGCTGTATGAATGCGGTTGGGTATATGTCTTCCATATCGTACATGTCCAACCTTTGGTTCTGTGCAAGGTCGTCGATCACGGACCTGAAGTCTTCTTGGCTCATGTCGAGCTGGGGAAAGTCACTGAGTTGTGGCTGGAGCTGGACTTCGCCCCATTGCTGTGGAATCTCGACCAGCGAGGTCCGGCAACATTCAAACCACTGGCGCAGACAATCTTCGGTCAACTCTTCTTGGGCACTCACCAGCTGTACACTGAGGGATGGAAGTTCCTGTGTGCATGTCACCACAACGTCGAGGGTACCCGGCTGGAGACGTGGTAATGAAGCCTCATGCCCTGTCCAATCGAACGATGGCTGGAACAGTCGGCGCATCTCGGATTCGGACTCGGTGGCAGATGCTGAGAGGGCCTCCTTGGTATTCCAGTGCAGGACAATGGATATCTGACCAGCCCGCATGCGGCTGACATCGTGCCTCCTGGATGCAGCTCGAAAGGCGTCTTTTGCGTGACGTACGACGCCAAGCAAATCTGTATCTTTCGCCGACAGAACCAGCGATGTGTACGAAGTAAATTGACCCACCTCGTGCACTACATGGCGCGTTCGCCCATCATGCTCGACAAGCATGAAAACGTCCTCTTGATCTGGGAAGATGGACTTCAATGAATGGAATAGAACTCCCAGAAATAACTCCTTGGGATCGGCACGAAGTGCTTCAACACTTGTTTTCCATAATGTGGTGGCTGTACCCGCATCCAGCTCGAACTGGACCAAAGGCTTATTGGGAGGACGTAGGTCAGTGGTCGTGCATGCATCCACGAACCCAAGCAACGACGGTAGTGTCTGTTTTGCCTCAACGGCTTCGATCGTCAATCGTAGCGACTTCGTAACCAACCATGATTGGAATAACCCTGTAGCTACGCGTGCTGGGGCGGCGCCTGACTCCAGATACTTACGAATGTCGTGAGTAATTATGTCCCACGACAGTTGATCGACTACGACCTCGGGCGCTGCTAGATGCAGGTACTGAGGCCCAGTGCCTTCCACACCGACGAGCTGGGCCAGAAGTAACGGTCCATCGCGAAGATTCAGGCGCTCGAGATGCGGATTCCACGCGGTTTGGTCGGCGCCTGCTTTGGCCGCAGGGACGTGCACCGGTACACAAAGATAACAGCCATGGGGCGAATCATTCACCACTTGCGCCGAGTTTCCATCCGCGCCCACAACAAAGGTAGTTCGGAGGACGGGATGTCGACGGATAAGAGATTTCAATGCCGATTCAACTTGGCTTATTTGGCAGAGCCCAGGCAAACGTACAACACGGGAACCATGGAGGCTTGGATCTCGGCGCGTCTCGATCCCTGCACGCTCATGTCTTTGAAGCAGTACATGCTGCGCTGGAGATAGTGGGAAAGGTTGGCCTATCTGTGTCCCGATGACATCACTCAAGGAGGCGATGGTTTGGTGTTGGAAAACGTCTTGTGTGGTGATAGACAGCCCCTGGGCGCGACAGTGGGCACTTAGCTGCATCGCTAGGATCGAGTCGCCGCCGCGACGGAAGAAAGAATCATCGAGGCTGATGGTATTTGCGTCCATACCCAGGACATGTGCAAAGGCGTTTCGAAGCCGCCGCTCCCCCTCTGTAGTTAGTAGAGTGGGCGAGTCATCTGTCCTCGCCGCCAGCATATAGGCTTCCACTTCAGCCCAAGGTGTCTTGGCAACAAGTTCTCGAAGACGCCTGCGGTCTGTCTTGCCTGAAAGAGAAAGAGGCATACGTTGCAGCGCAACAAAAGCGCTGGGCACCATGTACGCGGGCACCCGAGACTGGAGGACGCGCTCCACGTCCTCCATCTTGCGGCGGAAGGGCTCACTGGGTGGGGCGAGCAGCTCGCCTTGCTCCGGGGGTTCCTCAGCGGCACGCGAAGGCTGATGCAGCCGAACGCAGGCCACGAGCGCCGCCCGGCTTTGGTCGGCACCGTGCCAGCGAACTAGTTCGACGACCACGTCGTCGTCGCGCTCAAGCTGGTCCCGAATGTGCCACTCGACCTCATTTAGCTCAACGCGCTGCCCGCGGATCTTGGTCTGTGTATCCTTACGACCCAGGCACAGAATCGACCCGTCCTGCTGGTATCGCGCCAGATCGCCAGTCTTGTACAGGCGCGTCCCACGCGGCGGGAGGCCCCGAAATGTGGCTAGCCATGTCGGATCGACAATGAAAGCCGTGGCTGTCATGGCGGCGTCATGGAGGTAGCCACGGCCGATGCCGGGTCCTTCGAGCACCAACTCGCCAGTCTGGCCCGGCGGGAGTAGGATGTTGGCGTCCGTCTCGTCGACGATCCACGCGACGCAGGCCACGGGGTAGCCAATATTGTTTGGAGGGAGGTCACGGCGCATTGGAGAGCGCATGATGGAGTATACAGAGCATTCGGCATTGCCGTACGCGTTAACGAGGACGACACGATCCGCCCACTTGTCTATGTCGGCTGGGAGCATAGGCTCGCCCGCAAACTCAAGCACGCGCAGGCCCGGGAGCGCTTCAGCGTCCAGCAGCCGGGCTACCGAGGGCGTCAAACTGGCCATGTTGGCCCGGAGCGCTGTGAAGGCACTGGCGACGTCGTCCCTTGCCTGCTGAGGCGAGGGGATGCACACACAGCCGCCATGGATCCACGTGCGGAGGAAGTCCATGATGGTGGGATCAAAGGCGAAGGACGCGAACTGGAAGGCGCGGCTCTGGGCGCTCATGCCCAGCACCCGCCCTGACGCCAAGGCCGCAGCGCAGAGCGAGGCGTGCTCCACCACCGCCCCCTTGGGACGGCCCGTAGAGCCCGACGTGAAGACGGCGTAGAGCGCGCTGGCCCCGGTGACAGGCGACGCACGCCAAGCTTCGTCGTCGGCCACGCCAGATAGGAGGGACGACGCACCCACTGCGAAGACAGGGCTGCCGTCGACCAGCTGGCTGGCCCGGCTCTGCAGGCCCTCGGCCGCCACAACCATGGTGGCGTGCATCTCAGAGCAAATCTCGCGCAGACGGCGCTGCGGGTGCGCTTCGTCTAGGAGCACAAAGGCCGCGCCGCTGCGGACCACGGCGAGCACGGCAATAGCGGTCCATTTCGACTTGGGCACAAGCACGGGGACGAAGTCCTCGCACCCCACGCCGCATGCCGCCAGTCGGCTTGCCAGGGCTGACGAAAGCCGATCGAGCTCCCCATACGTCCACCCGCCGTCCCAGGCGCACACGCTCGGCGCGGACGAGTCCTGCACCATGTGCGCTTCGATCAGGTCGTGCGCTCGGGACGATTCGTCTACGACTTCAACGTAGTCATTGTACTGATGATACTGGGCGACATCCTGGGCCGTGGCTGCGCCCACATCGGCGACAGGCGTAGCCATTATATCCGTCGTGTTTCTTTGGGCCGTCGCTCGCTGGTAGAATGGTGTATTTTCTGGTCGAAAATGTTTCTCGCCTCATCTAACAGATCATCTATGAGCAAGCAATACGCCGGGAGTGAGCCCTTAAATGCTCAAAGCTCCCCATTACTGCCCTTGAACGCATAGCAGACACTACTGCGACGGCCATGGATTGAGGCATGCAAGCAATCCAGTGGGGCATGCACGACATTCCATCGACTTTGGACCATGTAACCCCTGTCCGTGCTTGGCGAAGAGCCCAAAGGCCCGAGCATCGCCAATAAGAGGGCAAGCTTCGCAGTCGTTCGGAAAAACTGCCTCGTCTTATTGGCGGTATCCATCCCTCACCCCGCCTGTAGAGAGGTATGATGGCTTACACTGCATTGTCAACGCAATCTACTCCCTTGCAAAGCCCTTTGAATTACGCACCACACCACATGCAGACGTGGCGCGGGGGCGGGGGCGCCG